AATAAAACTCACATGCTTTGTGAAACTTTTGTTTGACATAAAAAAAGATCACTAAATTAATGAAAGTCACAGAGGAAATTAGCAGGAACTTTGTGACTCAAATATTCATTTGGTCTGAGTCCCTCTTACTCATGTTATATTGTCTACGTAAAACAGAAAAATCTTTTTTATGGCATCATTTGATTTGTAAAGTCATGAAATGTATGATTCAAAGTCATTGACAGGTCTACTAGTTATTAAAATAGCTTAAAAACTACACCAACATGTCCTCTACAATCAATTTCTTGTTGGTCAAATCATAGCATGGAAACAAATCTACTAGGTCAAAAATGAAAGCAGTGTTCTTGCAATTCTAATGTCTGAGAATAGCATTTATTGCCCAGTCCCAAAACACAAACCTGTCTCTGTGCAAGAACGTTTCATCTAAACAAGGAGGAATGCACTATAATTACTGGTTTCATTTTGTAAAAAGTTATCCATGAAACCACGTTTGTAATGCTTCCTATCATTCTCATTCTCGTACTACAAGAAAGTGTACTATTAAAACAACTCTAATATATAATAATGAACCTGAAAGTTTGAGATCTCTGAAAATGAAATAAACTCAGTAGTAGAAAGAAGTGAGTGGTGTCAGTTTCGAGGGTGAGGGCTAGGCATTATGGTGGGATTAGAGTCAACCTTTTGGTTTGTACAGCAGGAAGAGCAGAAAGCCCTTGAATGTTATCCAGAATGTTAGCGTTGGGGCATCACTTCTCACACCATTTTATTGTCCTTTCAACTCGCTCTTCCCTGTGTGTAGCTGATTGCTGAGAAACAAGCATTTAAAACTTTTGACTTTCCTGCGGAATAGAAAAACATACTGACACTAAGCTGGAAGAGGAGGCTGATAGCAGAAGCAATAATAAGTTTGGTATAGATAAAGGGGATAGAATGTGAATGACGGGAAGATATTGCATTGTCACTGTGACTAGGGAAAGAAGAAAGGTCACGTTTAAGAAGGGTGCCCTATGGGCTTAGAGACATAAGAATGATGATTTTCAATGGAATAATGTTTCAAAATTATAAAACTTCCACTCAGAAAGGCTTTCTCATAATGGTGCAGGTGTTCTCTCCTGAAAAAGAGGTAGCCTTCCACTGACCTTTTCCTGACCATGATTACATTTCAGTTTACCAGGTTTTTTCTTTATCTCAGTATATGTGTTCAGTAATGATTCAGCCTTAATCTGTCCTGGCTTTTTAGCTTGGGAGTTTCTGTTTTACAGGCTTCTACCTGTAGTATTTCATTTTATGATGCAAAGAAGTCAAAGAAGATATATGATCAGATTGTCTCCTATACAACGGGGGAGCTGCTCACTTCATTTAAATGGTAATGCGTAGTTTCATGGAAATTCAGGCCTGTATTGATGAACAAAGATAAGATGCCTCTATTAAGTTAAAGAGTGATATAAAAACTGTTCTAGAAAACTCATAAAACAGTAAAATTTGCAGTGGTGACTGAGTATGTTAAATGTCTACATACATATACATAGATTAATTAAGTTTTCCTTGCATGATATTTGATCTTGAAGTTAACAATCCAAGGAAAATGGTTGTGGAACATAGGTGGAATACACATATCTCCAGTCAGCATAAAGACTACATATGAAAGAAATAGCATATTGTCTTCTATAAGAATCAGCCACCTGGTAAACTTGATTCAGCCACTGGATGAAATGATTCTGTGATTCAAGTGCCATGCCATTTTCCATTTTTTTTCCTGAGAACATCAATGCAGCCATGTTTACATTCCTTTGGTATAAATTGGTTAAGAAACATTTAATGGTCTTGTATCTACCAATGAGAAACTTGGAATGATTTATGGCTATTTCTTTTCCAAAAATGCATGCCGGTTTTGTAGATTTTTTTCCTCAGTAATGAATTGTGAGACTGTGTGCCTTCATCTAGCCTGAATGCCATTCACCTGACACTTGTCATGATATGGTACCTGACCTCTGCCATCTCTCTTGCCAATCTATCTCTTTCTATCATCTTTGCTCAGCAACATAAGTAATTTAGCTCACATTTCCGAAGGAGTTGTCTAGTGCACTCTCTTACAGTAGAAATGAATACTAATGGGAAGCAATATGTATGTGTGGAGGGGAACAGGATAGGATTAAATTAAGGAAACTTACCTTTTAAGATTTGGTAAATATATATTTTTACCCATAATTTAAATCATGCTAGGGCTCAGAAAAATTTTCACCACTGTATAACACATACATCTTCCATCATTCAGGATAATGGTAGGATGGTAGAGTCTCAGAATCTCTCTGGATATCTCATGCCCTTCTATGTTTTGCTCCTGTTCTTTTTCTCTGAAATTTTACAGAAATGAGAGACCTCTTTCCTCCAAAGCAAATCATACAAACAGGTTTTCTGTTTGGATCTTCCTGTGTGTTTCTGTGTAGGAATTGTACCTGTGTAAATTCTTTGACCTGTCTTGTCTGAGAGTATATTATTACATGCCCGTCCCCACTCCTGCCTCTCATTCCAAGGACTTTTGCCTCAAATCTAGAAGGAAGGAAAGCTGCACATAGAGCGAAGAAGTCAATCCTTGTAGTATCCCCTTTTTAGTGTCTCCTTATTAGATCACACCTTTATCTCAACACAATAGCGTACAGTATCCATTGATACCATCCAAAGCATATACCTGTGTCTTAGAACCCTTGTATCTGAAAGTGCTCATACCATGCTAAACTTTAATTAAACGCTGTGTTGTGAATTTCTGTGTTTAACTTTTCTTTTCTTGTGGTAGTTAGCCATGACTATTACCATAGATGAGGAAAGGCACTATACCTTTCTTGACCCTACATTTAATAGTGCTTTTTCCACACTGCTTCTACGGACCACAACCACACCCATCCACCAATGTTTCCCACACACAATCAATTTTGGAAACATGCTCTAAAAGTTTCTTTAGAACTGAGTGGGGGCATACAGTGGACCCTTAAGTTACAGGAGTGTGCTCTCACAAAGCATTTACTTTTACATTTCTGAAAGCAAACTGTAAAGACACTCTTGCCATATTCTGTAGATGTTCAAGCTAAAGAAAGATGGGGGTGATGAAGAGGACAGGAGGGGGATGGAAAAGTAACTACATATTTAAATATTCTATGTTTGCTTGTCACATGAGAAGCTCAGATAAAGCAGGTTGAATATAGTACACACACACACACATACTCACACATAATACAGACACACAAATAATGATGAAAAATGACAAAAGAAATAAAAATGTATACTTTCCAGTACGATATCATATGGGACATAAGAGGAAATTTGAACAGTGGTTAGAACTCCTTTAGCCACTTTTCTTCTAGATTGCTTCACTTTTTAGAACAAAAACCAAACACACACTGTGAAACTGAATATAACACATACTTAAATTTTGTGTTGGGCTTTTGTAGTTGCTTATTTGTCATAAGATAACAAAGTTTCAGTTGTTTTCTAAACCCATCATCTTTCTAATAGGGAAGTCTTTCTTAAGAGAGCATAAATATGCAATGTGATGCCAGTTTCCAAAGGGACACCTGGCCATGGAGGGAACGTGATGACCCAATGTGTTTGAGGAATGGAGTGCAGTTAAGAAAAATTCTTTCCTAGCAGCCCATGGTCCTGAGTAGTAATAGCATTCAATGACTTTCAGAACCAAATTATCTCTGGCATGTGCTCTGCAATCACAGAGATAGAGCCCAGGTTTAAAAGAACTTGGTGGTGGGTTTTAAATATTATTATCACCACTTTAAAACTTAAAATAAATTTGAACAAGGAACCTCTGTTATTGTCAGGAGAATTGTACAGCCTGCTATATAGGAGAACCTTTAAAGTGGTGAAATACAATTAGCTGCTTTCTTATGGCCTTTGAGAAGACACACTTGCCCTAATGACAACACATGGGCCTGTTTTGTTTTCTCCAAAGGTTTGCACACATGCAGCATCTTCAGGAGATTAATCTCTCCACAAAGTATGCAGTGTTGTTTACCTTTTTAAACATGTTCTCTTATACCATCTGCTTTAAAGATACTTACATAGTTGTCAATGTTTCTATTTCCTAGATTTCAGTGTGTTCATATGATTACATTTGATAGGTGAATCAGTGGAAATTTCTAGGTTATTGCTTCAAAAGCAAAGGCAAGTGGACAAAAGTCTTTCTTCTTGCTCCTTTAGGCAGGAAGGCAGATGTGCTGTTAAGGGAACCTTGACCACGTAGAAGCAGACACACCAGGGGAAACACAACAAAGGATAATGGAACTGGGCTCTTTGCAAGACCTGCTGAAGGAAATCCCCTCTGCAAACCCCAGCTGCTTATCTTGCATCAAAGACTTAGAAGAGGAAATATTCTTTATCTTCAAGGCCCTTTGCATTAACATAGTTCCTACTAGCTAATGCCTACCATAAATTCTTGTGGGGTGCTTCACCATAATTTCTTTAAAGTCAGAATAGCTGAATAATGAAAAGCTCTGAGTACTGGAGATTTGCACGTAGCAGAAGCATTGTTAATTTGCATTAAAATGATCTAAAATGATATTGAACCAAATTTTACCTTCAATGATTTTCAGAACACTCTAAGCCTTGTGTAGCCTCAAGGTCATCTTTATGAACACTAATTATCGTATAAGTCTATAGATGCTGGGACTTGAGTAAATCTATAATAATCTCATGACAAACTCCTGAAATTGCATTTTCAAAATAAATTCCTGAGGCCTAGTTTCTCTGTAATTTATCTTCATTATGAAAAAGACTACAGAAGGTGAAAATAACTTTTGCAAATATTCTCATTATTTGGAACTGAATATGGACACATCTGCTTTTGAAGAAATAACTAAAAAATAGAAAACACTTTTTACCTTAATATTTTCAATGATGATACATGCTAAGATTTAAAGTATGGTATTAATAAAGCAACCAACTGCAAAGCTGTGAAGAAATCCTGTACTTAAGAGTGTAGATTTTATGTTTACCTGCTCCAATAACTCTCTCAATGCGAATTCTTGAAGGATCAATCTCTTTTGCAAATTCATGGACTGCTAGAGATGGGTCTTCATAGGTGTCTGGATCAATGTATGTTTTAACTCCTGGGAAGCGCACTGCAACAAAATATAAGATTGATTTAAGTTAAGAGTATTTCCCTAGGCATATATCTTACTAATGTGTAAAGGTGGGAATGGAATTCTGATAATAGTAGTTACTTATTAATTACTTAAATTTATCTTTATTTCTCTTTCCAGTTGATACCATAACAAAAAGGAAAGCAACAGAGAGATCCCATAGTTCATAAATTATCTCTTGCTCTGCTTCTTGGTTGCCAAAAATTGAACAGCCTTAGCCACAGGGTCCTATGTCTAGGCTATATTACCTTACTATAGGTTCAGAAATGTAGATTCAGGTGAGCACAAACAGGATCCTCTGAAGTCATGAGCTTATAATAAATCATTCCTATTTTGGAAATCTAATACTGTGACTAAACTGGACCATGTCCTTCAGAGACTTCGGAGATGGTTTATAAAAGGATTTGAAGAAATTCTGGCAGAAATTCTGGATCTGTAAGGAGAGCCTAATGAAGGGAGGTCAGAAGACCAGAACGTAGGCAGTAATGCTACGAGTAAAGACTATGTTCATGGAGTTTTATTATAGGAAGAACTCTATAGGAAATTTGGTTAGAAGACCTTCATGTTGTGAGAGAGAATTTCTCCATCTTTTGTCCATGCCCCAGTGGAAGCCTGGATTTTACGATTACCATAGGTGAATACGTAGAGGAAATATCCAAGCAGTCTGGGAAGGCTGTGACACAATTGCATATTTATGGTAAGAATTATGATTTAAAAAAAGATGGGTGTGTTAAAAAAAAGCCAACAACCTCACAATTTGGTCAGAAAGAAGTAAGATTAAATTATAGACAAGGAGGGTGTGTCTATCGAAGAGATTAGAACCATTAAAATGAGGCTGTGGACTTGGCTTTGGAACAATAAGGTATATTTTGAAAATTTCAGGAATGAGCTGGAATCAACCCATGTTAGACTCGAGTATAAGTGTATACATTTGAAAGATATTTCCTAAGAGGAGAGATCTGTTGGTACATACTACTCACCTAGGACAGTTTTGATAGTTATTTCCTTAATATTTATTTCAATTTTCTCAATCATCTAGACACTAAGAGGGCTCTATACTCATAGTTCAAGCTCGGAGAACATCTTAGTATTACTCACTAATTCTAATTTTGCAATGATAAAAGTAGAAGAATTATGGGTAGGGTTGCAGAGACTTCCACTCAACTTTCAAAGAAAGCTGAGAGATTCAGTCATTGTGTATATTTGGTATTACTGTGGTAAGCCCTGATAGGTAATGTATAAAGCTATGATAGCAAAGATAAAGATGGAATCGAGATCCCAGGAAGCTAGAGATTCTGGGAATATGGAATACCTGTTAAGAAAGACTATAGGTAACAAGCAGAACCAGCTCAGGAAAATCACCAAGTGAGCTAAAAACAGAAAGGATGTGATGCCCAAGTCATTTGCAATTTATGTCATTCCACAACCTGGCCTGAATCCTAGACATAAATCTACATGATTTAATGTTTTCTCTCTTGTATTTGGTTTGTTTTGTTCAAAACCTTATGGTATTCCATATTCTTGACCTTGACCTTCGGAATGAGAATATTGATTTTGTATCACTCTATTTGGTCTCTGTGACTCTGGGCTCATAGGAAACTTAGACTTTTTCAGCAGTATTGAATTATTAAGACTTTAATGACTGGGTTCTGGGGAAAATGCATTTGATATTGTAAGATGATCATGAAACTTTTTAGAATAAGGGGGAGAATGCTATAGATTAATTTAGATGTTAAGTTGATGGAAGGTGGACCTATGATGCTTAATTTTGATTGACAAATTATTGAGAAGTGCTTTCAGGATTACTAAAAGTCTTTGGGAGTGTCTGTGAGGATGTTCCAAAATAGTAGTCATTATGGGAGAAAACTTCTTCAAATCTTGGTAGGACAATCTCTAGAGTGTGTGATGAATAAATAAAGGAGAAAAGAGGGGAAACCCACAGCATAGGCAGCTTTTTCATAGCCTATTCTTCCTCTCTGCCATGACTTGAATGTGTCTGCTCCATCATGCCCTCGATGTATGATACCTCTGAGACCATGAGCAAAAGAAAGCTTCAGCCTAAAAGAGGCGTTTGTCCACTGTTTTGTCACAGCAACACAAAACTATCTCACACATAATATAAAATAAGTGGATGATATTTGGTTTTGTTACATCTCAGAAGCATACTAATTCACAATTAAGTAGGTTTTTAGTCTTGCTTTCTTACAAGAAAATCTTAATAACCAACAAAAAAAATAAGTGAGCTTAGAAGAGGCAATAAGATGTTCATTAGTAGTTATAATTTGCCTCATCAATTATTTTGTGTTCACTGCCTTCATTTATCACCTCTCACCTGTGTCTTCTTAGTGCTTTGGTATGCACATGTGAGAAGATTAGCATTTAAAACACAGTACCAAGCTATAATTCTGATAGATACATAGTGTCAGACAGATAAAAATACCATTACTAACATATAATTTTCATAATTAAGCTATTTATTTAAAGTTATAATGCATTCTATACAATAACTAGATAAGAATGCTTTGTCTGTGAAAAGGTAATATATGTAATATTGGAAAAACCATGGCCAAATGAGTCCCAATTTTGAATATCAGGTTACTAATTTAATTCATCCCCGTTTTCTTAAACAGTGGTTTCTTTTTCTTCACTTCCTTGGCCGCTTCAGGTTATTCTCAATAGGTCTTGCTGAGCCCATCTGGTTTAGTTTATGCTAATCTGCTGCTTGGAAAGCAGATAATAAATACCTCAGAAGCACTGTTTCCCTCTGCACCTTGGTACAAAAAGCCCTGCCGTGAATCTGAAGGTTGCCCAGCATTAGTCATCCCTCCAGGTGTCTGCATCCAGGTTTTTGCAATCTGTTTACAACATTCTGAGGTCATCTCAGGCCAGGTCTCTCAGGCAGACGGTTCTCAGGCCACTTTTAAAAGTGATAGGTGCCTTAGAATTTTCCCTAAACCATCTCAGAAATATATAATATCTTACTTAAAACCTTTTCCTGTCTTGTGGGGTGATATAGATGGGAGGGGTGTTTTTAAATCTTTTTTTATTTTCTTGCTTAATTTAGAAAAGGGATATTTAAATAGTTGAATGAGTTGCCCCCTATAGTATCTCTATACTTTTGTTAGTTAAAGAACAGCCTTTACTTGTTAATTCAGTGTCTTACAATAGGAGAAAACCGTCTTGATGAAGTAGTTTGCAATTTTGAGGTGAAGGTGGAGGTGGCTGTTTGGGAGGAGAAAAGGGCAATTATCAAACTAACTATAGTGGTAATTATAGCTTGCTGAAAAAGAGATCTTCAAATGAATATAACCTTGTAGTCAGCACGAGGCTTCATACATATTCTAAGAGTTAAAGAGCTGATATACTTTTATAGTGCTAATGAATTGTAAATTGCTTTGTTGTGTGATTAAATGGCAATCTCTCAAAAAAGGAATAAAGGTTCCTCCCTGTGTCTGTATCTAATGCTTCACTAAATAAACTGACTCATGTTCCAGAGCCATTGTGATGGTAAATAAGTGTACACAATTAGTCACCATGTATTTTTAGTAAATTCAATTTCTTGGGTTCTCCCGAAAGCATTCTGAAAGGGTAATGTCATTTAATGAGAAGCAGGTGCGGTTTCCACCCTAAACCTGGAAGTTAGATGAAAGCCTTAATGCCAAAAGGTCGCAAATGAATTTCTTGTTTTTTTTTCGGGGTATTCCAAATTTGAATGGAGTTCTGAAGGTTCCAGGAGGGTACAGAACAGGGCAGAACAATCGCAGTACTTACAGTGGCCATTCTGTAAGTGCGCTCTTCTCTTTTCCTCTGATTTCATCTTGGCCTTTATGTACCACTGACACCTTACAAAAAGTAAACAAAAGCTTGTTTAAGAATTGTGTAATATACCAACACAAAACAGTTAGGGGTCTGGAGAGACGGCTTCTAAGACAGTAATGATTTGGGTCAGAGTGAGGGGACAAGAAAAAAAGTGTCTGAGGAGTTGGATGAGAGGGATAAAATGATTTTGATTTTTTTTGCATGAAAAGTCACAATGGTAATGTGATTGGGTTACAAAAATACTGCTAATACCTTATATATTGATAACTGCTTAGTAAACATTATCAAGAAAACACTAAATATAATAAATTTCTCTAGTATATCTCCTTTAACCTCTATAAAATAAATGCTCTCATCAACTTGTGAATCTTAGGTATGGATATCTTGACAATAATAATGTATTCATCATTAAATCACACACAACTGAAAGTACAATGATATCCTATATAGAAATCTTAACAAATATATGAAACATATATTATCTAGACAGTGATAATTTAATATGATGATTAAGATTTTGATATGAAAGATTCTTAATTCCATTTTGAAAACTTCTTTGAAGATGTTTAGGGTACAATATTAAGAGGAGTGTCACATTTATCTACAACAATAAACAAAACCCCCTATTCATTATGAAGTTGATTTTAAATATTCTATTTTGTAATAATTCACTATATAGTCAAATAAGATATACTTATAATATATGTCACCTTTATATAATATATCCTTTAGAATATGAATTAAATACCCCATCATCTCTTTCTGTCACAGGGGCTTTGAATGGCATAACCACATCTACTGCCTGTCAATGTTGCTGTTTTATCTGCTTTCAGGGTTCTCTGATAGCATTTAGTACTTTATATATGGGGTCACCCTGGGTATCTATTTTTGGTTTATTAGCATTATTTGGGCAGTTTTCAATCGTGGCATTGGCATCTTGTATTATGCCTGTTTCAGATTATTAACACCAAGTCTTGATGTGTTATTTGTTCCTTACTGATATTTAGAAATGCCTCGAGTTTCTGTTGTTGTGAGAAAGCATCATTACCAGATCAATTTGGGGAGGAAAGACTTTACTCAAGCTCATAACTGTCATTTCACACTCTATCAGTGAGGAAAGTCAGGACAGGAATCTGGAAGCAGGAACTGAAGCATAGTCCATAGGGGAGTGCTTCTCACTGCCTTACTCCTTGTAGCTTGTTCAGCCTCTTTTCTTAGACCTCCCAGGAACCATGCCCAAGGTAACACCAGCCCACAATCAGCTAGGTTCTCATACATCAATCTGACATGGCCAATCTGGTGAGGAGATTTTCTTAATTGGGGTTTCCTCTTCCCAAATGACTCTAACATGTCAAATTGGATATTGGTAATCATCTACTCTCTCTCTCTCTCTCTCTCTCTCTCTCTCTCTCTCTCTCTCTCTCTCTCTCTCACACACACACACACACACACGGCATAAAGCATGGTTTTCTACCGAGTTGAGGATAATCACAGAAGACTCATTACCTTCCAGTGATGAGGAAGAACAGAGTGAGGATGACTAGGAGAGTGAATCCCCCGACAGCTGCTGTGGCTATTACCAGGATCTGCCCTTGTTCTGCTGCCATGTCAGAAGCTGAAAACACAAACACAGGTGACACATATGGTGATGGTTATTTTTCTTAAGCACAGTATCTTTACCCTTTATTTTAATAGGTCTCTAAGCAACCCAGCTAAGTGAGATTTATATAATGATTGCAGAACTCAGGTCATCATACATAACACAAACCTTTCTTCTTAAAAATATAACTAAAGTATATGAATTCTTAATGCTTCCTTTTAAGACTGAATATGAGTTGCATTGAGCAGGCTTTGCAGACTTATTTAGCATTTGTTTTTAAAATATGAAAAGACTGTTTATGTAATTTAAATTAATAAGTTAAAATAATTTAACTTATATGTAACATATATTTCATAGAACTGAATTCAAATATTAAAGATATACAGTCCCATACTCATAGTGCAAGGATATGTGTGTGTAGACAAGAATACATGTGCATATGTGTACACACATATATATATATTTGATAGATAGTAAGTGGGGGAGAAAAGAATACTTAAGTGTTTTCCCTTTTTTCTTTTCTTTTTTTCTTTGATGAAAAGGCCAGATCACATATAGTAACAACATACTACTTTTTTTTTGCTATGTGTGATATTTAATATTAATTTTCAACTTGACAGACCCAGAATCATTTGGGTGATGCTGGCGTCTAAGCATGCATGTGGAGAATTATTTTGATTACATTAATGTTAATTGAACATGGAACCATTTCATGGGCTGGGATCCAGGAACGAATAAATAGTGAAGGGGAGCTAAGCACCAGCATACATTCATTTTCTCCATACTCCATGATTGTGCTATGGACAGCTCCTTCTGATGCTTTCTTGTAGTCTTGGCATCCCTTCCTAAACACTGGTTATATGATTTAAAAAATAGCTGTCCACTTATGTTACTTCTGTCAGAATGCTTTACTATACAAAGAAAGAAATAAAATAAGACACTGACAAAATTTTGTCTCTCTCTCTGTGTATGTTTGTCTGTTTGTGTGTGTGCTTGTGTGTGTGTGTGTTTGAACAGGAGGCCTTGCACATTATAGACAACTCATCTTGAAAACTGCAGCAGCTGCATTTCATTCATACCAGGGGTCCTAAAATACACTTGATAGGGGAAGTCCTTCTGTATATAAGTTTGTTCTATTGGTTGATAAATAGAACACTGTTGGCCAATAGGGAAGCAAGATAGGTGGGACTAGGAGTCGAGAAGAATTCTGGGAAATGTATTAAAGAGTAGGAGTCACCATATGATCCTGGGAAGAGCAGACACATCAGGATGGTGTCCTTGGAAAGATAAGTCTTTATAGAAATATACTTATTAGTAATTATGGGTTAATACTTAAGACAGAACTAGCCATGAGAAGCTATGAACATTGGCTGACAGCATTGTAACTAAGAGTCTCTGTGTGTTATTTGAGACTGCCGCAGTTCTGGAACCAGGGTGGCAGGAAGAATGCTCCTTACAAAATGGTACCCTCAACATGCAGCAAGAGTTTCCATGTAAATCTAACAAAAGCTTAAAATGCATTTTAGAAACAAAAGAACAGAGACCATCATAGTTTATTGGTAGCAGCATTTTCCTGGGTAGTCTGTGTTTTGCTAGAGACAAGTAAAGACTTGTGCAGTTCCATTAAGGGAGCAGAGTTTCCTGACTCAGCATAAGTGAAAAAAAACAAACAAGGAAACAAACAAACAAAAACACCTTATGGATCTTTTAAGAGGCCCTGCTAACAATTGAATGGTGTACAAGCAGCTTGCAGTGGCAGTGTCCACATCTCCAAGCCGGCAGCATACTGCTTGATAGCAGTATAAACTAAGGCAGTGAGCACAGCTCCCAGTGCTGGTGGTAAATTTATGCCCACCATGTTGGGAATCCAGCTGCTGCTTTAATTTTAACAATGTTGTTTTAAAAATAAAAGACATGTGGTCAGAAAAACAAAGATTTACAGTAAAGTCAGATTCAGATTTATAGTGTGTTTAAAAATGTATGTAGGCTTGGGAGAGAAAAAGAAACAGAATACTGGTAAAAAGAAAAAGAATAGCTGGGTGTGGTGGTACCCGCCAGTAATCCCAGCACTTGGGAAGCATAGGCAAGCAGATTTCTGTGATTTCAAGGCCAGCCTGGTGTAAAGAGTGAGTTCAAGGGCAGCTAAAGTATTACAGAGAAAACCTTTCTTAAAAAAGGAAAAAAAAAAGGAAAAGGAAAAGAAATAGAGTAATAGTAATAAATAGATAAATAAAAAGCCATGTAAATATGGAAAATACACAGAGAGTCTGGATAGTGTATGCTATTGTGTTGTCTTCAAATTGTTTTATTGCTAGGGAAGGAGCAACAACTACTAAAAGACATTTGATTATCAATGCTAAATTAATCCAACTTATATATTTTAAAATTGCTTTGACTTCTAAACTTAAATATAAGAACAAGTTATTTGGGAAAAGAATTTTTGCTTGTGTTTCCACAGAAAAGGAATAGCTGTGGATTCCTTCTAGACTTATATGGTTTGATGAAGCAAGACCCCCTGAAGTAGTGGCCCAGGTGATCCAACATCCCAAAACAGTTGAGATTATGCAGTTACAGACCACTACAACCAGGATTTCTGGGTCTTCTTAGGATCCCCAAGACAGTGTCCCCTAACGGTAGGAAGTAGTTTAGAGAGAACAACATCCACATTCCCAAATATTGTTTATAAATGTTTGTTTTCATTTATACAGGTTTGGTTATAAATGCTAATGGTCACAGTCAATCTCTTTCTAAAGGGAAAAGGCATCATTATGTAATAAGCATTCTTCCCGCCAGCCTGGTCCCAGAGCCTCATCAGTCCCAAATGAACATGCTGGACGCTATATTAATTATGAAGCTGTTGGCTGTTTGCTATGGTTTCTTGTTGACTAGCTCTGACTTAATTATTAACCCATAACTGCTAATCTGAGTATTCCCACGTAGTCTTCTCTTACCAGAGAAAGGGTCATGCATGGTGACTAACTGTGCCTCCATTTCCCAGAATCCTCCACCTCTCTTAGTCCCACCTATTTTGCTTCCCTATTTGACAACAGTGATTTATTCACCAACCAATAAGGTCAAACATATTCACAGAAGACTATTCCCCATCATCTCCTCTTTTCTGTCTAAATAAAAAGAAAGGTTTTACTATAGTCAAATTATATATAACATAACAGTTGTCAAGTAAGAACTATAGTTACAATATTTAGTCTATTAATATTTAGCAAGATTTAAAGAAAGTATTCTATCATCTATCCTATCTGTGTGAGTCTAAAGTCTTATATTAGCTTATCTTTTATCATAACTAACAAAATTATAACTATAACAATCTGTCTTCAACTCCAGCAAAGACTATAGAAGGATATTTATGAACACTAGAATTGACAGAGACATCTTGCTACCTAGATAGTCACCAGAAGTTCCTCTGTAATGTTGGGGCATCCATAGGCCACAGTGTGTCTGGCAGACTTCTCAGCAGAGCATAAAAATTTAAATTGTCTACATTGGCAGTTTGTCAGTCATTTTTTTTTTTGTCCTGTAGAATGTCTGGCAGACTCTTCCATGAAGCAGGAACCCTTTAGGACTGTCCCATCAAGTTCAGCAGTCACTTTCCTGTGGGTCCTGCATGTCCAGTCTATCAAACAGTAAAGGCAAGAGCAGTTTCTTGCCCAAATGGCTAATCTTGCCATGTTGAAAGCAAACTCTATAATGAGTTTCTTTGATGCCCATCTTCCTCTCAGACATAATTGGTGTGCCAGGAGTGGTTGTCTCACTATCATGAAAAACCCTAAACCATTTAAATGCCATATATTCTGTATGTCTTTGAAAGGTTTGAAAAATATCTATCAATCTCAAATGCATCTCTGTATATGTAGAAAATTTAACTAACCTAACTGTAAGTTTTGATTATTATAGGTAACTATCTATAATCTGTAGTTAATTATACATTACATTTTTAAAAGAGCTGTAAAAACACAATATCTAAACAAGAGGAGAAATCTATATCTATATACAATCTCTCTCACTATATATATATATATATATCACAAAATTTATCTTAAATTTGAATCAATAAATGAAAATTCATACCAATACAAAGTATTCCTTTCTATATCATACATTGACTGGTTTGTTATTGTATTCCATTTTCTCTATTACTGCTTTTTACACTGGATAGAATGGGAAATTGCTTATGTGATGTATATACATACAGAAATATCAGAGTGAGTCCCTTATTATCTATAATTGATGTATGTTAATTAAAAAAGAAAATTTAGTAAGAAAAGTGAAATACAGACTAGTTAAAGAGTCTCTTCATGTAAACTTATGACCAGAATCCAGGCTCTCACTTTTAGTTTTGTTTAACTTCCTATGCTACAATACCAATAATAATTCAGCTACCAATAGTCTAAAATATTAACCAATAAGTCCCATTATTATCCTTCAGTTTGACTAAAGCACTGTCATCATATTTCATGTGTGTGTGTGTGTTTTATGTGAGTGTGTACCAGTGTGTACTCCAGTGTGTATATGGAGGTCAGAGGATAAACTTGGGTGTTGGTCCTAGTCTTCTGTCTTGTTAGAAACAGGGCCTCTCATCATTCACTCTTTTTACAGGTTATTTTGATACATATATTCCACTACCATCCAGGAGTTTTCCTTTCTCCACCTTCCATATTTCTGTAAGGGCAGTGATAGCTATGCTACTACAATCTAGCTTCCATAATGGTTCTTGGGGACTCAGCTCAGGACATCAGGCTTGCACAGCCTTCTCTCCTAGGAAATAGCAACTGTTGGCTTCAGTAAGAAATCAGTCACACCATTTAGGAGGCTTTCTAAATGTAATAAGAACTAAAAGTTACAATTGTTCAGTTTTCTGCTAAAGAAATTTATTAAACATTGGAATTAGAGTTTAGTCACCATTATTTCATCAAAGTATTTTCAGGCAGTCTTTGCAAAGTTGAATTTTTATTCATAATCTATTCAGAGACAAGATGCATCTTATCCAGTAAATAATG